CGCGGACGAAAATTATGTAATGCGGATGGTGCAGAATGATTAGTGAACCGCGAGAGCGATAAGAGAGCAGACGGATCCTTATCCTAGCACTGCGCCACTTCAAATTGAACGCGCCTAATGGCGGAGGGAGGCGGGAGGCGAGATGCGAGTGCGAGCAATTAAAAATGCTCCAACTACTTTAAAAGCCAACATCTGGGCACATTTCGGCTTTTATGAACAACCTGGTAAGCACGACCTGGAGAAAACACACGCTGTGTGTAAATCATGTCACACACAATAAAATATGCAGGGGGTAATACCACTAACTTGAGAAACCACGTCAGTTCATATATCTGACTGCATGTATTTATTGACAAAATTGTATACATGTGAAGTAAAATTGAAAATTGAGGATGCAGTTCATCGTCAATGCATTGTGATGCATCGTGATATCGAATTGAACCGAATCGATGACATGATAATCGTAATCGAACCGAACCGTGAGAGTGTAGGTTCACACCCCTACTACACTAACCCAAAGTTTTCATGTCATCTTGCAGTAATTTAGGCAGCAGCTTTCCAGTTCACTGCCCTATGAGACATCAACCTTATTCTGTATCTTGGGAATATATGCGAGATGAGACAGGCCTTTGTGTACAGTGAAATCCTCTTCGACTACAAACTGAATAGGTCACAGTGGGACTTACCGCTCTCTTGGAGCGTGCCGCTGTGGAACGAATTCTGGTGATGACACTATTGTGCAGGCCACAAAACCATTTAGGGGCAATTTATCCTCACACACATTAAAGGAATGAAGTGCTCGGGGTTTGCGAGGGCGCTCTGTGAACTTTCAAATCATATGATACAGAAAAAGCAAGAAAGAATCCGACAAGTGAGTTTAATGGAGTTTTGTGGATGTTAGCTTTGAAAGTTGGGTGTGCATTATTTAGGCTGACGAAACAACTTTCAGAAAAAAAACTAAGCCTACAGTTTTGAAAGTTGTGAAAATTATGTGATCTATGGGTTTAAAAGTCTATGGGTTTTAGTTTACATCTTATGCGCAAACATGATTTACTAATTACTAGCTAGAACCAGCTGGTTTAAGCAGGAAAGACATCCTGATTTAAACAATCAAAAATCTGGAATTGGGTGAGTCATTGTTAATATTTTAGGACCGATTTCCTGGAACAAAAAAATTGTAACTGTACATTTAAATTTGTTATTGGTAATCTGACCTCTAATAAAAAAAAATAAATTAAAAAAAAGACAACAGCAGATTCAGCGGTTACTGAAAGTAAATGCATTTAAAATTGCGCAGGACTGGAATTACCCAGGACGATGGAAGTCTTATCTGTCTTATCTCACAGTAACTGATGTGACTGCTAATCTAAACAGGTTAAATTGCCCATGAGAGCCAAATTCCTGAAACACTGTCTAAGAAAACGCAACGCTCTGCTAATAAAAGCACGGCAAACTAATAAGGTGTGCATGTGCTTTCAGAGGACATGATCTTTCCATCCGCTTCTTGATCCTCACGCAGTGGGAAGTGCAGTCTACTAATTCATATCCTCTTTTTTTTTTTTGCATATCCTCTTCTGAAACAAAGTAGTCGACCACATCCTCTGAACTGAGTTTTTTTTTCCCTCTTTCACACTTTCAAGAACCGTCCTCAACCTCTGGCCACATCTTAACCTAAAGTTTCCACCATCAAGATGAGCTACTACCAAACACAGAGTCTGGGTTTAAAACATCAATGCATGAAAGCTTCATTAAAGTAAAGTTGTCTGTTAAAGGAAAACAATTTTGACTTATCCTTTGTGTTTTATCACTCTCAATCAGATTTGTGCAACACTGCATTTCACAACAGCTCTAGGCTATATTTAAATCATAAAAATGGCAAAGTAACAAAGAACACTGAAGATAAAAATATTGTCGGCATGACCTGATAAACTTGAAAAGCGCAAAGAAACTTCTCTTTTCAGCTTCTGACTCTTTTGTTACTAAAATAATGCAAACACCTCTACCAGCTAAAACAAGAACAGTTCGAGAGGGATGTCTGAAAGCAGAAGACACTGGCCAACATCCTCCTACGCAAACCAGCATCTACATCACAGGGCCATAGAGATAATGACAAGAAGTTACCCACAAGTGATTCAAATTTCTCTGAACCCTCAGGGAAAGGAAGTGACAATGCTGGCAACCTCACAGAGTTGTTAACACAGACATTTAGCTTTATTCATAAAAAGTCACACGCACACTGACTGAGTGCAGAAGAGTAAAACATAAAACTTGCACTGAACAGTTTCTGCACCACTCTCTCTAATCTAGCCTGACATGAATCAAGTGATTCAAAACTTATTACAGGAGTAGTGAAAATTTGCTGAAAATTACTCATCCAACGGCCATCTAAGATATAGATGAGTTAGTTTTATCATTGGAACAGATCTGGAGAAATTTAGCATTACATCACTTGCTCACCAATGGATACACTGCAGTGAATGGGTGCCGTCAGAATGAGAGCCCAAACAGCTTTATTAAAATTACAGCTTTAAAATTTTGTCACAAGTATTCCCCTTGCACAAAAACATAAACGCAGATATATTTATTAATGATAAGAAGATGCAATAGCATTATGCATCCATTACAATGCATCTCAGAGTATATTGCGCATGGCATATAAGGTAACATCCAAATCGTCTGTTTATCTATCTGAAGCTCTGAGTGAACTGTTAACCTATAGTGACTCAAACTTCTCTAAAACCTCAGAGAAAGGAAGAGACAGTAGTAGTCGTTACTTGTCAGTGTAACTAACTTCTTTCATCAAGTCACAAAAACATGAGTAGAAATCTTCAAGTTAACAGGTAAAGAGTATATCTATATATAGCTGTACACATTTACATTTGTATACCCCATATACAGTGGTGTGAAAAAGTGTTGGCCCCCTTCCTGATTGACTGTACATAACTCTCTATCTATCTATCTCTCATTTGTCACAAGCTCGTTTAAACCATACGAGCACTTATACAACATATGAGGAAATGTGTCATATAAACAGTTCAGATTATTAATTTTAACGATAATGAGTACGTTTACATTTTGTGGACAACAGACCATTACCACACCAAAACACGGTCAGAAAGGGCCAGACAGCAGCACAAAAACTGCAACACAAACTCTATATAGACAACTGGTGCCACATAACGCAAACTACATATGAAAATAAACAGCATATAGGAGAAAATGGATGAAAACGAGAAGTCTGACAGCTAACCTAGCTGAAGTCAACAACAGCGCTATGAGCAGCGCCGTCCACACCCAAATACAGCTGTCTGAGACAAACTCGTGTAGACGTTAATACCGAATTCTCTTATAAATGTATTTAAATACCCGAATATATCATCGAAGGCATTTATATGTCGCGTTTCGTTATTAAAAATAAGATAAAGATAAGATGCCTTGATCCTGTCAGTGGCCTTGAACCCTCGTCTGACGCTAATGCTAACGCGGCTAACTGAAGTTCATCTTCACATTATTAATACATGTAAACAAATGCAAACACTTACCTTGCTTACTGTCTATTTTTCCAGACATTTTGGTGACAGTAAGTGAGCTGGTCGCGATTTACAATCAAAAGATGTTCGTTTCTCGCCGTTATTCCAGCATCTTAAGGAGACAGACCGGTCGGTGTGGTCCTGGTCTGTGTGTGTTTGGCTCTGCCTCCTCCATCCACACACACACAGACACACACTCACTCAGACACACACACACACACACACAGACAGGCCAGCAGTAGATGATGATGGTGAGTGGAAGTGTGTGATTTCTGCAGTACTGTCGCCCCCATACGGTGAAAATAACACATTGACAATGTAAGCAAAAGTGGAAAGAATATTATATTATATTATATTATATAAATCCCCACAAAAATAATATAATATAATATAATGTATTAATATAACACAATTTTGTTAAATAAGTGACTGAAACAAAGGTTTAAATTTTTTTATCAGACATTTATATTTTTGACATTATCTTATCTTATCTTATATAAATCCCCACAAAATAATTATAATATATAAAATAAAATAAAATAATATTTTATATTATTACATTATTTAATATAATGTATTTATTTAATTAATTAATATTTAATTACATTTCACAATTTAATTAATATTAATATTAAATTTATATTTATATTAAATCACAATTTAATATTGAAATCAAATTAAAGTTTTGTGGTTTTTAGTCCAAGTCTGTTAGCTCTCAGGTCATCGTTATGCAAATATATTGCTTGCTAATAAGTGACTAAATTAACTGTAAGCATGACTGACCTGCATGTTCTCTGTCGCGTGACTTACTAACAAAAACCGCAAAAAAAAAATTGGTTAGTGTTGTTTAATAAGCACAGTTTAACCCCATATAAGCACGTTAACACTTTAAAATAGTAGCCTGCCTCACGGTTCTCCATCATAATTTATTCTTTATATAATATAATATAATATCATATAATATAATATAATATAATTATGTGAAAATATAACTGACTTTTTAAAAAATCATGTTTTTTTTATTACTGGGCTTTAGAAAGGTATAACAACCACTGATATTTACGAATAAATGTATAATAAAATGATAAATTTTTAGATATATGCATTATCATTGTGAGCATATTAAGGCCTATGAATGCCTTTCACAGTAAATAAGTGAAGATGAAATCCCAGAAGACAATATTATTAGAGATTGCTCTTTCATAGCACAAGAGACTTGAGGGAAGTCTTCTTGATGTTATTTTGTTTCTCATAAAACTCCTCAAAATATAGACACAAATAAGTCAATTGTTGACATGAAACTGAATTTGGTATCTTGACAAATCTGAACTGTTTTTGACTTCTTTTCTGAAACTCTTGAGAACTCCTGTGGAATCATTTCTTTTTCTCTTTCTCCCATTATTTATTTATTTATTTTCTAAGGCAAAACGTTTGAGAAGCACTGAGACTTAAGCAAACGTCTCCATTTGATCTCCCTCCTAATCTAATTGCTGTCTAAGAAACCAGCTGAGTTATTAGAAGATATAATTCCTGATAATTGTTCTAAGAATCTCAAATGTGAATCAATAAAACTGAAAAAAATAAATAATTAAAAATCAACAGAAACAGAATTGAGTTGCAGCTTCAGTCTGTGGCCAGCAGAGGACGCAGCTTCACCACATCTGAGCTCTCTTCAATAATCACATCATCAGCATTCATCCTATTGTGTGCACAGAACATGAAGTAATATTGAATGCAAAATTATGGAAGGGTTTGAAGATGTCAGTTTCTGGTGTCCTTTAATCTGATATATATACACAAAACAAAAGCACAAAAGAATGTATTGATGTCATACCTGTAATCAAACGAGGCACTAAACCAGTTGTTTTAATTTGTCTCTGTATATTGTGTGTAGTTATCTTTCTTTCATGTTTAGAGATGTAGGGATGATCTGAAAAACGTTATGACCCCATTAAAATCAAATTAAAGTTTTGTGGTTTTTAGTCCAAGTCTGTTAGCTCTCAGGTCATCGTTATGCAAATATATTGCTAATAAGTGACTAAATTAACCGCAAAACAAATAATTGGTTAGTGTTGTTTAATAAGCACAGTTTAACCCCATATAAGCACTTTAACACTTTAAAATAGTAGCCTGCCTCACGGTTCTCCATCATAATTTATTCTTTACGTTTCAATTTGGAGTCTTTTTTGAAAGAAATTAATACTTTTGTTTAGCAAGGATGCACTAAATTGATCAAAAGTGACAGTAAAGACTTTTACATCGTTTCAAAAAATAAATCTATTAAAATTATTATATCTCAAATAAATGCAAAGAATGCAACTTTAACACGGCTACTAATAAGAAATGTTTCTTAAGCACCAAATCAGCATATTGATTTCTGAAGGATCATGTGACACTGAAGACTGGAGTAATGATGCCAATAATTCAGCTTTGCCATCACAAGAAAAAAAAAATCATAAAATATATCCGAATAGAAATCAGTCATTTTAAATTGAAATAACATTTCACAATAATATTATTTCACTATGTTTTAAAACAAATAAATGCAGCCTTGGTGAGCATAAGAGACCTCTTTCAAAAATGTTAACAAAATTCATACCAACCCCAAACTTTTTGAATGTTTCATTATTCTATCTTTGAATCTGACACTCCTCAGTTCTTGGCCTCATGGGACAGAAAAGTTTTCATTGGTTGCACACTGAAGAATTTTTTTTTGCATACTATATAGGAAGTATGCGTACTATTTCAGTTAAAAATACATCAAGGAAATGATATTCATTAGTCTCAACCATAATGCTCACTCAGTCATTACTTCTCATGATAGCAGATGGGTACAGAATACAGCTGTCTATACAGATAAGTGAATATGAATACTCCCCTTTTGCTTAAAGAGTTCAATAACTTTGCATCTGCCAGGAAAGAGCTTTAAATTGCTATTATAACTTGTAAGTTGTTTTTGAAAAGCACTGCTTGTGGTTTAATTAGCCACTGTCCTCTGCTCCACTTTAAAAGACAGATAAGACGTTGATACTCAAAGGTTGCCTGCTTCCGCTGCAGTGGGGATATGTCTGTCAAAGCAAATAGACAGCTGGCCTGTACCTCTCATCCATCAAGCGCTGCCACGTCCACTTTGCACATCTTGATAACGGGGGAATTAACAGCAAGCCCAGAGATCAATGCATTATTTAAGAGGCGCCGTGCTGATTGGTGATGAAAATGAATGAAGAGCCCGTTCTCTCTGCCCCCGTTTTCTACGGCGTCCCTCAAGTACCTTCTCGCAAATCCTGTAGAGAATGTAAAAACACCCTTTCGGATGGAGAAATTACAGTGCGTTTTTAATTAATGTAATGACGCATGATCAGTAAGCTACCCATGAGAAGGGGATCTTAAATATCTTAAAACACGGTTTATGCAAGTATTATGAAGGTAAATTTAAGACTTTTAGGAACTTTTTTAAACCCCAAAAAAAAAAAAAAAGGAATAAATCAAAGGGAACACAATATGTTCTCTACGTGTAGATGTTGAAACAGAACATAATGAGTTGAGCAAATTTTGAAAATACAACTTAAAAAAAAAAAAAAAAGTGAATGCTGTAGAAAGCTAACAAGACTATTATAACGATCTGGGAATGTCAATTTACGGTTATTCACTGTATATTATATGTCTTTTTCACTTCCAAAAACGGTATACTATCTTAAAATTAATGTCCAATACAGTTTTTCACCTTATATAGTAGGGGAATTTACTGTTAACCATTTAACAGGTTTTTACTGTAGCATTTTTACAGTCTTTTACCGTTAAATTCACGGTCATTTTTTACAGTGTACCTTCTGATCACACTGCACAACAGTAATGTTCTTCCTCTGTATTTTTGTCTTGTTTTTCAGTGCAAATGGATTAAAAAATTCTTAAATTAAGATAGATGCCAAAATTACACGAGAAGTCTTGATTTATGAAAAGTGCATTTATGTGAATGATTTCACTATTTATTATTTAAGTGAATTTATGATTTAATTTTTTTTTAAAATATCTCCCAATATGCTCAGAAAAATCAACTTCATTCAAAGGGAAATCAAGTTTTCATATCCCATTGACAGATATTTGTTATTGTTTTAAGCATAAATTCACTTAATTGTATTCAATTTCTCAAAAAACAAAACAAAAACAAAAACAAGACTTCAGATGTCCATTTTGCATCTTGATTCAAGGATGTTTGTACAGTAAGACAAAATACTGATAAAGATATTCATTATTTCTGTAACTTTCTTCTGCTGAACACAAAAGATGATATTTTGAATATTTCTGATCCCCATTGACTTCCATAATATTTTGTCATACTATGGAAGTCAATGGGGACCAACAACAGTTTGGTTGCCCACATTCTTCAAAATATATTATTTCATGTTCAACAGAAGAAAAACAACTTGTTGTTGTTGAATAAATGATGACAGAATTTTGGGTGAACTATCCCTTCAAGGCCTTAATTTGTGGAAGTGCAATTTAAGACTTTTTAAGACCAGCGGAAACCCTTTAAAATCAGTTTGCATGTCAGATTGTGTTTGTCAGCCACTTCTAAATATATACATCTACAACAGCTTTCAGATGCACATTGCTGAAATGCACCGAAATGACCTTTACCTCCCATCAGAACACAGACCGATGACACTTCAGGTGTCCTTTGTCCTGGGTTAAAACCAGGACACACGCCGTCCTTACTGTCACTTTGTCGAGAGCGCTGTGCATCGAACAGCACGTCTTCTTTGACCTAAAGGAATGACCCTACGGTGATGGTCCTAAATGGGCTTTTCCCATGAGGGGCTGGAGAGATGAAAGGCTGTGTTCTTAAAGAGAGATTAAACAGGATTTGATAGGCAGAGCTGAACAGTTCTCCTTTAGCAACTCTGGGAAAGACAGAGAGCAGGGAAACAGATCCACGGGGCAGCTCATTTACAGAGAAGCACACAGGGCAAGAATGCAGGTCTAGGCTGGTCCTACTTTAGCTTTTTGGATACTGATAATAATGACAAGCCCCCCAAAAAGTACATCTAGATATAGTTCTAGTCACCAAGTCTTTTGTGTCTCACCACTGCAAACATGTTTACCTGGCTGACTTATAAAAAACTTACCTGTGCTTATTGTTGTAGAAAATTATGTAAGCACTTTCTAAAACTGATTTATATGTGCTGCATTTCTCTTTCTGAATTA